AGACTCTAATTCCTAGTCGATTTATAGATATGGTTAATTATGAATTTATTCATTTGACATTGGTATATTGTGAGATTATTTAATGAGCTCTTACAGTGCCTTCCTGCATGACTGAAATACAGAGTTATATAGAAGCTCTTACTACATTAAAATTGGTAATTTAAAATTGAATAGCTTCAATCAATATCTATGCCATGTTTATTTAAATATTCATGAATTTCCTGCATCACCTCTAATTTTAATTTTATAAAGTTACAGTTGGATGTAATTGTTGTCAGTAAGAAAACTTTGGTTAAAAGTACTATAAACTTCTACGGAGCCCCTTTAGGGAACACGGGGAAAAATTCAGATAAAATGTGAACAACTTTTTAAATTCTAAAGAGAAAACTATACATAAATACAACACTCAGCTGTTTTGAAAAATATCAGGATAATGGTAATATTTTCATTAATGGTATAAAGAATATTTGATTAGTTTTCTTTTTGACCTAAATTATTAAGGAAATTTAACTAGTTGTCTTAAAGCGTGGCAATTTCACAAGGATACTTTTGTGTAAAATTGGACACTATTAACTTAATTATTTTAGATATGCATTTGAATAACCAAATTCTGAAAAGTGTATGTAGCTGAAATACTAAATTTGGTTTAAATTTTTAATAATTTTTGAGTTTAAATTTTGATAGGAGTTGATTCCACAATCGGTTGATTCTGAAACATCTGAGGGTGAATCATCTTAACGCATTTCTATTTCTCTCTGGAGCTCAGAGACAGAGGCAGTGGACCTTATCTGAGCAGCTCCAGTGACCCTGAGCCTGGCTGAAACAAAAAAAGGAAACAAAGAGCCAACTCTTCATCTACATCACAAGCTAAAGAAAAGACATTTAATTTATAATTATGTGAGCAAAAGGTGGCATACACTTTTATTTTCTTAATTTACTTTGTGTTTTACTCTAGCAGTTCTGCTTCCTGTGGTCTGACGGACTGTAGGGGCCAGGTTTTGCAGGTTCAGAACCGTGCAATGAGGTAATGAGAGGGGGATCGCCTGGCTTCGGCATCAGGCCTCCGCTGTTCTTAGCCACGCTGACTTGGACATTTGCACTTTCTACACATGAATTATGCCATCTTCTGCTGGACTGCTGTCTGAGAGCAAAGACCTGCTGGACGATTCTTACAGCTTCTACAGAGGTCAGTGAGGTTGGATTGATTTTTCCTGTTGTCACCTGAAGGCGGAGTGCAGCTTACAGGAACTTGCATTGGATGTCTGACTGTGATCTCTGAGGAAACACCTGGCTAAAGGACGAGACCCAGGCGTCGTTTTGAGGGTCTCCTATGGCAGAAAAGACCAACAGCTTCTGCCCGACATGAGACGGAGGTTTGAAAACAATGATTCATCTGCTGTATCTCTCCCTCGCCCACACAAGGGGGGCCACATACTTTGTCCAGATTTTTCTGCACAGCGGGACTGAATGCTGCCTTGGACAGATTCTGATGGGGCAAATGGAACATCACATGTAAAGTTGGACTGAGACTCAGAGGCGGTCCTGTTTGTTGCCATGGTTGGTCCTGGGATTTCCCTCAGTCTACAGGTTGGAGACAAAATGGCTGCCAACAAAACTTTGTAGCTCTCAATGATTTTTCTAGAATTTTTGAATTGTGTGATGCCACTTTTTCTCACCTGAGTTTATTTACAGCAAATTCATTATCTACTGCCTTTGCACTCTGACCTCTGCTCTTTGACCCCCAGAATAAGTTTTACGGTGCAGCAGGGTGTTAGAACTCTCTGCAGTTTACAGAAATATTGTTTGCTTGAGTGATTATAACTCTGATTGTCCAACATCTGGCTAATATGTTTCTCTCCTCCAGCAGGACAACAATTGAAACAGGATAAAAGTCGGTAAAATTGTTAATTTCCTGGTTTACAAAAGCACATCCAACCACACTTCAAATACAAAAGAGGATGGTCTAAGTTCTACTTGGTTAAAATTACAGTGGCTACAAATATAAGGACTATTATTTCAAGTTATGATTTAAGTTTATTTGGAATCCATTTCAAATCTTAGAAAAATCTACTCTTGGAAAATTACTCAACCAAATTATGGGTTTACTGCACATTTTTTCAATCAACTGTTAAATTCTTTCACTGAGGTGTAAACACCCTGGTTAAATTGCATCCAACTGTTACAGTTAGCAATGAAAGCAAATTTGGGCTAAATGATTTTCGTGGGTTTCTTAGGAGTTTCTGTACCGAAACACTAAACAGTGTTCCGATACAGAAACAGGGGGAGATGAATGAAATTAAACTATTCAAGCAAATTCTGAGTTAATCTAGGAAATTGAGAAATTTTTCAGTTTTGGGCTTCAGCAAAATATAAGAGAGGTTAAATCAAAATTCACAAATGTTTTAACTATTTGAATGAGTTTCTAAAGTAGTACTGAATATTCTGAACTGAATACATTAAAATTAACAATGATGTCATGTGTCAAGTAGATTTCTACAAAATAGAGTTTAAATTGTTTGATTGCTGCTTCTCTCTTGCTATAATTCAAAATAACTTGTTCAACCAAGTCATGCAGAAAGGTCTAACCTGAACATTATATCATTTAATAAATCTAGTTGTATCAAATTTCTCCCCAAAACTGCCAAAAACATTGATAAATATGATAAACACTACAAAAGAAGGTAATTCAGTTAAGTAAACATTCTATAGAAGGATTTCAGAGAACAAATTGTTCAAAGGTTAAAATTGTTGAACTTATGGGATTTAAATAATAGATGAGAAGAAAATATGAGGATTCACATAAAAATTGGTCTAAATTGGGATTTACAAATGAGCAATTATGGAACTGATTAAAGGGGGTCAAAAGGATTGACAGAATAAAAAGAATCTAGTCCTATGTGTAATCGTTGATCCAATGCCTAAACATTTTTCATAATCATAATTTACAGTTTTTGGTCTGAGACAAAATAAGGTTGTCTTTTATTACATGAATGGAACAAATTACAAAGGATCTTAATTTAACACGTATCATAAACTTTTCACACTATTGATGATACTTTACAAGCCTTTAGTATAGCGGTGTACTTCTTGTTAAATGAGGACTATTTGATTGAATCTCATTAAAATAACAAAAGCAAAAGATTTATATATGGTTTAAGATTTCTGGTAAAGTTTCTATTAGGGATAAATCTTATATACATTTCAAATGATATTTCTTTGATAAAACATGACTGTGGGCAGTTTTGCACATTCATTTCATAATCTGATCCTTGACATTTTTTTTGTTTTTTTTTTTTTTGTTTGGTTTCTGATTTTGTCTGATCCTATGAATATGCCAACACTTAGAACAAGGAAAGTTATTTTTGAAGGATGAAATGTACAAGGTGTTACTGACTTTAAGCATTTCTTTTGCTATTATTAAGAGGAGAACTTGAATAACAGATGTTACTGATATATTGATGCTCTATTGGCTTAGTATAAAAAAAAATCTTGATCTTCAGCTTCAAGGAGAAGCCTTTAAATAAAAAAAAAGAACATTATGTTTACTAATCAGATGATGCAGAATCTTAAAGAACCTTCCTTGCTCTCCTCATCACCTGTGGATGCTGCTGTTCCCTGCCTGAGGTCCTTGTCTGTTCAGTGCATCACTTCCAACATAGAGAAGGGCAGCGGTACCAATAGAACCACACCTGCCTATCAGATGTTTTCCCAGAACCGAAAGACAACCGTGGACCTCCAGCTTTCTATAGTATAAGGGTTTTGTCACTAGTATCTAGTGACAAAACAAAATTTTTTCATTCACTTTAATGTTCTTTATATAATCCATTGACTTTGCTTTTTGTTATGTTTTTTCTGTTGCAGAATGAAGTCCAATCCTTTCTGGGTGGGCCGGGGTGTGAGGCTGTGGGCGCCTTCCACGATTGGTGGACCGAGTTAAAGCTGAAACGCCACACTGAAGCCTCCTGGGGTTTCCTATCGAGCTGCGCCGGCTCTACATCTGGACACACGCAGAAACTGATTTGACGTAGCAGGTCTTGCTATAGAGAGACTGATATGATTAGATTTTATTACTATTATTGCATTTTACTTAGAGAGCATTTTTACTTGTTTCCTCATCATAGTTCATTCATATCAGTATATTTTGACTGTGCTGCCCTTGATCCTGATTTATTTTATTGGTTTGCTGTTTTATGAATGTGTTCATTGTTCTGTCCTTTTAATACTCAGACTTCAAAGCTTTTCTTACCATTTCATTTAACATTGCATCCTTTCTGTAGTTCATTAACCTTTAAATATTACATAGAAATTTCAATAAGTTTGGTTTTTAAAACTAACACATTGTTTTACTCATTACTCATTGTCACTTCATTGACTTTAAAGGATAGTACCTTAACATTTCTAATTTTACTTTATTAAGTTTTAAGTAGTATCTACCTTTTATTCATTTTACATTTTATTCATTTTAAATATTAACCTAACACTTTATTCATTTTTGCATTTTATTAAGTTTTTAAATAATCATCCTACAATTCTATTCAATTTACATTTTGGTTAACTCTAACAACTTAGTGAATATAATTTTAATACTTTTTTTTTACTTTAAAGATGACAATTAGATCTTCCTAACACTTCACCCATTTTATATTTTCATAAAATTTAACATTTATTCTTTTTAACTTTTTTAACTAACAAAAATTTCAGACTTTGTTCTTTTATAGTTCATTACCCTTCTATGGCATGATGTTGACCTGAGGTAACAAAAAGAAATAATAAATAAATAACAAGCAACATAAAGATAATAATTATAATATTTGGTTCCAGAAAGTGTCATGGTTCGACTTTATGATGGATGTGTAATTACAAATGATGAAGCTCTGACAAAACTGTAAAAATATTTTCTTCTACAAAAAACAAAGAAAAAACAGTCATGCCATGGTGGGTTGACTTATGTTCCTCCAAATTTAACACTCTAACGTCCTTTAACAATTTTATTTCCTTACATGTTCTTCATTAGATTGTAAGAGGGACATTGTGGTTTCGATCCACCGCCTAAGAGGCATAGGGGTGCCCTGTCCGTTTTTACCCCCAAAATTGAAATGAAATGAAATGAGATGAAATGACATGAATGAAAGACAACATCAATGACTGAAATGATCAAATGTATGTCAAGATCTGTAAAAGCCTCGGGGGATGTTTTCCGGAAGGGACAGTGTCTACTCTAGGGTTTGTTTTCTCCTTTTTGGGCTCTTTTAGAGCCCAACAGGGGGTGTTGAGATTAGTAAATTAGTTAAATCATTATGATTACTATTATGTGTTGAGATGCTTTACCAGGCCGAGAAAGAGTCACACGCTGTTAGACAAAGGGCCCATAGTAAAGAGTTACATTTTTGATTCTGTTAGACACCAAGGTCCATTTCTCACGAGAAACAGAAACTTATCAGGCCACAGAGATATGGTGTGATTTCAGGGAGTGTCTTCAGTTCATATAATCAGCTACCCTCCTCTTTCTCCTCAGACGCTGCACAGACTTTTTTAGAAACTCTTCTCGGATGTAATGGTAAAGCGTCTCCTTTCAGCGCTGAAATTTAATAAAATAATTAAAGTCTGAATGCTTTTCTTGGCTGATTTTATGCTCCGTGTGTCAATACAAATTATGATTCATCGATTGAGACTCTCGTTCTCAACACAACCCACTCGCTGGCCGAG